CAGAGGCCTTCTCCGTCTCTTCTTACTGAATTGCTTGGGTGCACCAGATACTACTGTTGGCAGCTTTCTTGAAAATTTTCCCCCTGGTTTCTGTGATGCCACATTCCTTGCTCTCTCTCTGGGACTTTTTGCCTGTTGATTTTCGGAATCCTGCTTCTCTGCCTTCCCTTGTGTGTCAGCATTCCTGGGGAATCCCTCCTTACTGCAATTCTTTTCTCACTTCCCGGGCTTTCCCTCTGGGCAATTCCATCCACACCCTACATTTGGTTGGATAAACACCTCTGGGCTGGTGAGTCCCGAGTCTAACTTCAGCCCCGTCCACTCTCCTATACTATAGACCATAGAGCTGACTACGGGACACCTCCTCCGCCTGCTCCTCTCTCTGGACCCTAACCTTAGTGAATGGCATGACGAGACCCTCAGTTCCTATCACAAGAAACCTGGGTGTTCTGAGTTCTCCAAGTTCCACCAGCCACCAAGTCCTGTGTAGGACACTTTTGAGTAATTCTCAAATCAAATCCATCCTCTTGTCTCCACATCTTTTTTTCTGGCTGGGTCATCCCTCCCTGTATTTCTATGCCAGCGTCCAAGAGACCAGTCATCTGCCATTCCCTCCAACTCAGTTTTCTGAAGTGTAACCGGATTGGCATTCCCTTACCTCAAGCCCTTTGGTGGCTCCCCACTATCCTCTGGTGAAGTTCAAATTCCTTAGCAAAGTGCGTCAAGTCCTAGTCTTGGTCTCATCTCTTGCCCTTACACAGTGTGAATCCACCATGACAAAGCACCTGCAGCCTTACGAAAGCACAGTGCCCTCTGCTCACCCCCAGCCTCTGCACAATTCTGCTCACCCTGGGCCTCTGCACACTTCGCCCCATTCCCTGCACCTAGGACATCCTTGCCTCCCACTCCTGATTTTTCTTCAGGTCCCTGTCAAACCATGCTCCTTTTAGAAAGCCTTCTCTGATCTCTTGCTGAACTGGATTAGTTGCCCTTGCTATGGGATTTCATAGCATCTCATGCTTCCCCTGATCAGAAAAGTTTTTATACTTAAAATTACCTTTTTTTCTTAGTGTTTATATAAACATGTCTTTTTTTTTTTTTTTTTTTTAGTAATGGGGATTGAACCCAGGAGTGCTCTATCACTGAGCTATCTCCCCAGCTCTTTTTATCTATCATTTATCTATCTATCTTTCTATCTATCATCTATTTATTTATTTGAGGTGCTGGCCGGGGCCTAACGCATGCCAGGTAAAGTCTCTACCACTGAGCCACATTCTCAGCCTCTCTATTTTTAATTTTGAGACAGGATCTTGCTAAGTTACCCAGGCTGACCTGGAACTTGTGATCCTCCTGTCTCAACTTTGTGAGTCACTGGAATTATAGGGATGTGCTACCACACCTGGCTTGGGTCTTGTTTTATAACATATCCTCAGCATCTGGCATATGCTAGACACATAGTAAATGCTCAATAATATCTGCTAAAAGAGTAAAAGACAGGGACTGGAGCTGTAGCTCAGTGGTGGGGCGCTTGCCTGGCATGTGCATGTGTGAGGCACTGGGTTCGATTCTTAGCACCGCATAAAAATAAAATAAAGGCATGCTGTCCATCTGTAACTTAAAAAAAAAAAAAAGAAAGAAAGTAAAAGACATCTGAAAAGTTACACTCCCCTCTCTTTCTTGGGGTAATAAATTGCATGTTGTTACATTACCTGCTCTAGACAGCTTATAATAAGGAAATAGGTTAATTTGGGAAAACAAGTCCTCCCAGGGAAACTTGACAGACTGGAGAAATTAAAGCATCTGAGAGGTGGAGACTAGCTTGTGGATGCTGACACATGGCACTAACCCCAGGCCCATGTGCAGGAACCCATGAGGGCAGGGAGCCACAGCATCCTCTGCCTTGGCTCATCACACGTGATGTGAAGCATGGCTGCTCTGGAACAGTCTCCATTCGTCCCACAGCTTCCACTTGTCAGTGTAGTAGTAGCATTACAGAAGGCTGCCCCTGGGTTATGGTCTTCCCTCTGCCCACTAATTATCTGAATTGTCTCAGGCAATACTCCATTATGGATTTTGTACTGGAAATGGTAGTTTTAAAAATAGGGTAAATGCTCATATGTCATCTATTACTTCTTTAACAAATACCTATTATAAGGCTGGGGGTAGAAGTCAGCACAGTAGAGTACTCCTCCAGCATGCATGGGGCCCTAGGTTCTATCCCTAGCACTGAAAAACAAACAAAAATGCTTTTATAGAGCTAGGGTTGTGGCTCAGTGGTAGAGCGCTTGCCTACATGCATGGGGCACTGGATTTGATTCTCAGCACCACATGAAAATATTGTGTCCACCTAAAAACTAAAAGATAAAAATTTTTTTAAAAACCCTGTTATATACCTACTATGTGCCAGATACTGTTCCAGGTACTGGGATCTGGCAGTGAATGAACTGGATCAGGTTGCAACTTCCTGTCTGTAAGCAAGGGGGTGAACCAGATAATCTCTCCCAGCTTAAATGTTCTGAGACCCCACTTTGATCAGATACAAACTTATGCATGGAAGGGCTAATGGTAAAATAGCAGGCTCCAGTCTCCCTCCCCCTTCTCCCTTGGTGATATCTCCCTCCCAAACTCAACTTTGGGAAAACAGAAAAAGGTTTGGCATCATTTATGTTTGCCTGCAACCAAAGATTTAACTCTCCCCAAGTATCTGTCATTTAATACTTTTGTCTCTTTTGTGGAATGAAAGGTTTTGTTTTGGTTAGAACTGCAGACAGTTACAAGGAGGCCTGGCAAGATATTTTAGGCAAAGGTAGGTGCATTGGTAAAGGACAAAGCACAGTATCTCTCAGATTTGCAGGAAAGGGCAGGTCACTCAGGTTCCTCCCTTCTGGGTGATAGGCATCTCCTGGTCCTATTTCCTTTCCTTTACAGAGGTCAAGGTCTTCAGCCTGAAGGTCCCGAGTCTCTACCACTTCAGTATCTGGTACACTAATTAGGAACAGAGGATTCAAGAGAAAGCCTTGGGTCCTCAGCCTGACTTATAGTTCCAGATGACCATCATTCCAGGTTAATGTCAGGTGTGGGATGGCACCACTGAATTTTTAGGTGGGTGCCGTGGCACACACCTGTAGTCCCAGCTACTTGGAGGCTGAGGCAGGAGGATCACTTAAGCCCAGTTCAGAGCCAGTCTGGACAACATGGTGAGACCCTTTATTGAACAAACCTGCCCTCTACAGAACTCTTGAACCTTAATGTTGACACTGGATAATTACATGTGATAATTAAATTTTCAATTTTTGACTATATAATAGAAAAGTAAATGAGTCAGTAAGTTTACTATTTGTGTCTCACTACTATGAGACAACAGTTACATGGAATTATGTCAGAGTGACATGAACAATTTCTTATCAACAGCAAACTCTGACTTCAGATCTTCAAGTATATGATGAAACAGAGGGTAGATGATTCAAAAGACACAGCTCCTTTGCTTATTAGCTGTAATACTATATTGATATCTTCTCGGTGCAGATTTCAACTATTAAGATACTTGCCTCATTTGTTACAGGATTGATGTGAGACTCCAGACAACATATGTGAAAATGCTCTGGAACTGCCAACTGTTCTATGCACAGAAGGCACTGTTACCATCAGCCTCCCAAGGCTGGCTGGCTGTGCAGTCCTTGTTGCTGGCCACCATCTGACCTCTTGCCCTGTCTTGCTCACTCAGGTATCCCTAGGAGAACAACCTCCCCAGCACCTAACAATATTCCCCCCCCCCCCCCCCACTGAACCTTAAGAGGTTATGTGGAAAGTAACATGTGGATATGTGGAAAGCTAATTCTTGTCTGCTCCATCACGCTTGAGAGCCCTTCTCATCAAGCACTGGAAGGAAGAAGGGAGGGTAGTGACAAGGCTTATTTTCTCCAGGTAGCTCATTCATTTTACCAATGAATAAGGTTTTAGAATTTTTCTTTGTACAAACGTTCTGAGTTGGGTTCAGTGATACAGCATGATGCTTCTCAAAGAATCTCAGCTTCACAGTTTGGCATACTTGAGTCCACATCTGGACGTGGCCAACTTTGGCTGTGCAGCCTTATTCTGAACTTGAAGTTCCTCTTCTATATGAGGGGGTACTAGATAGCTTGAAGCATTACTGAAAGGATTATAATTATTGTCTGAGTGACTGGCATCTAAGTGCACAGAAGACAACAGATGAGCCACATGGCCCATCTTTGAGTTCAAAGCATCATAGAGTTGTGGGTGATGGGACATAAAGACCAAAAGAAGGTACACAGAGGGAGGTACCGTATTCAAAAAATAGTGAGGGTCTTGTTCTTGGCGGGACTCGCGAAGGACCTGAATGATCCAGGTGAACATTGAAGGCATTTCAGTTCAACTTTAAGATCTCCATCTCTTTTTTGGACCAGGGATTGAAGCCAGGGGTATTTAACCACTGAGCCAAATCCCCAAGTCAAATCACTCTTTATATTTTGAGAACAGGGTCTTGCTAAGTTGCTGAGGCTGGCTTTGAACTTGCCATCCTCCTGCCTAGGCCTCCTGAGCTGCTAGGATTACAGGCATGTTCCACTGCGCCCTGTAGATCTCCTTAATTGTTAAGGTCATACAAAGAAATATCCATCTTAGGAGACATTCTGTAAAAAACTCAAAATACTGCTGGGTTTGGTGGCACATGCCTATAATCCCAGCAACCTGTGGGCTGAGGCAGGAGGATCACAAGTTGATTCGAAACTTAGTTAGACCCCAAGCAACTTAGTGAGATTCTGTCTCAAAAAAAAAAAAAAAAAAAAAAAAAAAGTAGGGTTTGAATGTGACGCTTAAAAAAAACACGCCTGTGGTTATTATACACAAAAAAAAAAAAAAAAAAAAAAAAAAAAATTCAAATACCAAAGTATAAAGATTGGATGATGCAGAGTCTGTCCGGCATAGCTACACAAATGAAATAAGAAATAGAAATAGTGATTACTTCCCAGTTGTCAATGAAGTTGTGATTTAAAGGTTTATTACAGTGCAAGTTAGTTTTTAGTTTGTCCCTAGTTATCAGCAAGATGACTGGTGCTAAGAGTACTGCAGGGAAACAACTGGTTTTATACATGTGTCTTGTTTTGGTTGAGTAAGGTAAAAAGGAGAGCTTGTGGACTGCTCCTTGTGGTTCTCTGATTTGCTTTAGAGTCAAGATTAGTGAGCTGAACTATCAAGCAACTCTGATTTATCCCAGGTTCCTGTATTTCTTCTGCCTGAGTTATGTGACCATGAGTAGGTCTTCATCTTCACTGGGCTTAGACTTTACCAACTGAATGAAGTCACCACCTCCCCATCAGGTAGCATGTATTAAACAAACTTTTGAACTCCTGAGATTAAGGTTAATTGCTCTTGGGATTATATTTATTTATAATTAAGCAACTCTAAGAAGATCAGGTCTAAGTTGTTAATGAGGAGAAAAGCAAATGCTAAGGCAAAATATGTATACATTGTAATAATAAATGATTCCCTTAATTGTGCAGTGTAGACACTGGGATCCTAAAAAACCCAAAAAACATTCCCAATCATTCTTCATGGGAGAACAAAAAAACAAAACAAAACAAAACTCCACTTCTTAGCCTTCCAGGTTTTCCTCTATCATGGTACAAAAACCTACTCAGATACTGATAAGATAAATTCAGACCCTTCTGCAAAGACAAATATCTCTGAAGCAAAGCAAATCTACCATTTGCTTAGGAGAAATGGTTTTTAGATTCTTGTAAAAAGTAATTTGACCTCTTTTCCCTATCCCAAATCCCTTAGACTTTGAAAGGATAAAACACCAATCTGGAGCTCTTTCAAAGGATTTGCTACAGAATTGCTTGAATCTACCAATGAGCTGAATGGAGGATTTCTGTGTCTAAAAGGATTTTGCTCACTGTTTTATTTTTTACAAGTGTTGCAATATTCAAAAAACACAATTTTTTTTTTTTTTTTTTTTGCCAGTATGTCTAGAAAGGGTTAGAAAGAAGTAGGATCTATCTACTCAGATGTCTAAAATAGGAAAAAGAAAAAAAAAAATTAAAAATTCCTTATATGGATAGGTCCTGAGTTGAAATCACATTCATCTGTGAAAAGAAATGTTTAGGTCAGAAAGGTCTAACTATAGATCCTCACCTTGAACTTCACTGGTGAAAATTTCCAGGCACTATATGACAGACAGAACGCATGCCATGTAGTTGGCTAATTCTGGCACATATCCTACTTGGCTTGTGAAAATTTTATAAATATCTTTTAAACCTAAACCTTCTGGTTCTCTGAAACTGATTGTCTTAATCTGATTCCCAATACTTTTTTAAACAAATAAACGTTTTCCCTGCAAGATCACATATTTAAGTATTTGTTGGCCATGGATAGATACAGGGAAACCAAGTATGGATGGGAATTAGCAGTTTGGTGATACAGCTGTGAATCTGAGCGGCTGCATAAGTTGTCTCTGTGGCTCTGCTCTGGCTGTGTTCCTCCAGCACATCACCGCAACATCAACCTGAAGAGGGTGTGAACCCCAGCAGCTGCTCGATGGGTTTGAACCGCCACTCATCAGCCTCCAGCTCTTCTACTAAACCAGCCAGTTTTTCCATCCGAGCAACTTGCTGATCTGTAAAGAGTGAAGGAAATATTACTATACAACAGTGCACTTTCCATGACACTGTCACTAATCACCAACATGATGACTGGTTTAAAAATAATTTCTAGTTGGATTTTCCCCCTCAATGTTTCAGTAGTAATGGGGTCTCTTTATGTTGATCAGAAAACTTTTCTTTTTGGTACTGGGGATTGAACCCAGGGGTGGTTTACCACTGAGATCCATCCCCAGGTTCTTTTGTTTATTTTTTTAAATTCTGAGGCAGGCTCTCAATAAGTTGCTGAGGCTGGACTCAAACTTGTGATGATCCTGCCTCCGCCTCCCAAGTGGCTGGGATTAAAGGGTGTACCACCAAGAAAACTTTAATCTTAAAAAATAGAAAAAAAACCCAAGCCGGGCGTGATGGTGCATGCCTGTAATCCTAGCCACTTGGGAGGCTGAGGCAGGAGGATTGCTAGTTCACAGCCAGCTTCAGCAATGGCAAGCAACTCAGTGAGACCCTGTCTCTAAATAAAAAAAATACAAAATAGGGCTGGGGATGTAGCTCAGTGGCATTTTTTTCTTCTTGTAGATGTTATGCTAAGGATCATACACTCTCACCTCGCTTCTTCATTCCACACCATAAGCAGCCTCAGTGACCAAGTTACTTATTCTAAAAAGTTTTTTTTTTTTTAATAATGTTAAAAGTTATTTTTCAATACAATCGTCACAGGCCTGGAGATAGAGCTCAGTGGTAGAGTGCTGGCCTAACATGTCCTTGTGCCTGTGCCAGGTCCTGAGTTCTAGCCCTAGTACTATGAAAAACAAAACAAAACAAAAAAATCCCCTCAAAACCAATCATCACATTTTCAGTATGTGCTCTTGTTTTGCAGTACTGGGGAAGAACCTAGGGGTGTTTTTACCATTGAGCTATACATATATTATCCCCAGACTTTTTTTTTTTTTTTTCAAAATATTTATTTATTCATATATCTTTAATTTTAGGAGGACACATTATTTTGTTTTTATGTGGTGCTGAGGATTGAACCCAGTGTCTCATGCATGCTAGGCGAGCACGCTACCATTGAGCCATAACCCTAGCCCTCCCCAGACCTTTTTGCTTTTACTTTTTTGAGTAAGGTTCATGCTAAGTTGCTGAGGCTGGCTTCAATCCTGTGATCCTCCTGTCTCAGTTTATCGGCAAGTGCCACTATGCTCAGCTGTGCCCTGTTCTTTGCTGTTTTGTGGTGCTAGGGATTGAACCCAAGACCTCATTCATGCTAGGTGAGTGCTCTGCCACTGAACTATATCCCTAACCCTGTTTTTTCTTTTCTTTTTTTTTTGTGGAACTAGGGATTGCACCTGGGTATGCTTTAATACTCAATTACATCTCAGTTCTTTTTATTTTTTAAATTTCAGCCAGGGTCTGCTAAGTTTTGCCAAGGCTGGCCTGAAACTTCTGATCCTTTTGCCTTCGCCTCCTAAATAGCCGGGAATACAGGTACAGTGCTCTGCCTTGCTCTATTCTTTAAAAAAAAAAAAAGGTACTCATCCTCTATGCCATAGTGATTCAGTTCTGGAGGGAGGGACAACTATGGCTTTCTCCCCTATGTAATGCTTTCCATGGAGAAATGGTCTGGTGGGGGAACAGTCCTTGATGTATAATGAAGGCTTAGTGAGGCATGACAGGGCAGAAATCATACTATACGGGTATCAGAGTCCAGGTAGACCATGAGGTACACATAAATGCTTGAAGTTGAAGAGGGTAACCGTGGAGGACAACAGTAAAAGGTTTCAGAAAGGAAAGGGAAAGGCAACACAAGAGCAGCAGGAAGCACTGACTTCCCTAGAGAACCAACCCCTCTGACTTCAACTTCAAGTTTCAATGGGACATTCTGTCTGACAACTAAGACCTTGAAATGTTCTTTCATTTAGAAAGTCCACTTAAATAATTTTTTCTGAGTTTGGGAGTTTTGTTACAGCATACTGACTTTTAAGAATCTGCCTCCCTCACCCTCCGTAAATTTATTCTCACAGTCAAATACATGATACTCACGTGCTTACCATGTTTCACCTGTTTGAGCGTGGATGCCACTTGATAACTGAAAACAGATTCACAAAGGAATCTCTCAGAGCCATCTACAAATAAAAGAGGAAATGGTTTTAGTCTGCTCTAAGGGTTTTATGGCTTTTGATGAACCAAGTAAACCTGTACATTCTTTTCTCTGCTTTTACATTCGAGGTCTAGTTTTCAGGGTTAACAAAGAGGATTTGTGTTTCATTTAGAACTAACATGCTCTGTTATAAAAGCTACTTCTTCTATACCTAGGATGCTAAAATAGTCCCTCTACTTGTTTAAGAGTTTAAAAATAGTATTTAAAAAAACAAAAACAAGAAACCTCAGTGTGATGTCCTAGTCAACATTTCCCTCCTCCCAACCTGAAAGTTTCTTAATGTTCTCTTCTGTACACCAGGCAAACACTGCAGCTGACACATTTGGCCATGTGGCACCTGTGCTATCAAAATACAAAGTTTCACCCAAACTCCAAAACATTTTCATTCTAAAAAACAAAAGCTGAGGGAAAAATCTTTGTTGATTTTTAATATATCAAATTACATCAAAACACTGCTGGGAATTTTCATTCTGTAAACACAAATTGTAACCTTGATTTTCCAACTGAACCAGAACACTGTAATTTGGATGACGATAAGAGTGTGGTGCAAGTTCAGAACCTAGAACTGTACTGCTGCCAAGAACTGCCAATGAGGAGGTGGCTAACTTGGTCACCACAGTACTTGGAAGATGATTGGGAAACATTGGTAGTTCATGATATTCCTTGTGGCAAAGGCTGCTACAGCAAAACATATCCCCAAAGATATATATTTCACGTAGGAAAAGTAGATTTTTTAAAGGGCAGTGGACACCACTTGGGGTATATATCTTCTTGCAAAAACTGTAAAAAAATTGGAAAGAGAGGGCACTGCTGTCTTTTTCAATGCAGTAGTACGTGCCAGCACTACTAGATGTCAACCATTCACCCATCAATCACGAACTGGTTGTGCAGGTCAGGTATTAAGTGACAAGGAGAGAGGACGAACACATATTCTAGCCTTATGCTGAGTATCACACAGGCAAACCTTTGCAGAAGTCATGGTATCAAGGAGAAAAACTACAGATATTGTCTCCATATAGCATGAACACACAACTAGGAGGGCTTTCTTCCAATGCTATTTTCAAACTGATGCCAAAAAAAAGAAAGAAATGAGAGTATAATTCTTAGGATGTACACTATCTTCAGAGTTACATTCTGCAAATTCACATATTGTTTAATATATAGGATACAATTCCTTCCCCTCCCTCTGCACGTCTCTGGCTGAATGTAAATCATTTGTGAGTAGATTGCCTAAATTAAACCGAGCAATTTTTTTTTCATTTTAATTGAATATTATGATGAATATCCTTATTTATTTATTTATCCTTATTTTTTGGTGCTGGGGATTCATGCTTACTAAGCAGATGTTCTACCACAGAGCTACACTCCTGCCCTGGACTATCCAGTTTAAAGATCTAGGCATGCTGACGACATCACTGAGTTGATTTTTTTTCTTCTTCTCCTGAAGATAAGAGCACTTGGCGGCACATACAGTGCCTAACTACGAATTCCACTATGGGAAGAGGAACTGTTGTGAACATTTGATATCAATGATGCAATTTGTTTTTAAAATTTTATTTTGTAGGGGCTGGGATTGTGGCTCAGTGGTAGAGCACTCGCCTAGCATGGGCAGGACCTGGGTTTGATTCTCAGCACCACATAAAAAAAAATAAAGGCATTGTGTTGTGTCCATCTACAAAAAAGATTCTCTCTCTCTCTCCTTTAAAAAAAAAATTTTTTTTTTTTTGTAGTTGTAGATGGACAGAATGCCTTTGTCTATTTTTATGTGGTGCTGAGGATTGAACCCAGTTCCTCATACATGCTAGGCAAGTGCCCTGCTGTGGAGCTCTAGCCCCAGCCCTGCAATTTGTTTTTTTAAAAATAATTAATATTTTCTTTTTCTTCTGTGCCACCCCCCTGCCCCAGTGGTATTGGAGATTGAACCAGGGGTGCTCTACACCAAGCTATATCCCTAGCCATAGCACTTTTAAAATTTCGAGACAGGGTCTTGCTAAATTGCACAGGCTGGCTTAGGAACTTGCAGTCCTCCAGCCTCAGCTTCCCAAGTCACTGGGATTACAGGTATGTACCAGTTACCAGTACACCCGGGTTCAAGTTTTATTTTAAAAAGAGCAAAGAAAGTAGAGCTTACTTCCCAGGTGATTTGATCTTGAACTTTAGGGTCTCTCACAAGGTAGTGGGAATTACCAGGTGTAAGAATCAAGCCAACATGTGTATAGAAGCTCCTGGAAGTGCTACCTCCCACTTGTATTTAATCATAGATGTTATTAGGATAAAATGCTTATGTTATAACATTTGCATATTTTCCTTGGTAATAAATTTCAAAGCAAAAAGATATAAGCTTATCTTTCAAAATGGTACTTACATATCACTCTGCCATATTAAATGCCTATGAAATACACTTTTGTTGCTCTGCAGCTCTATATTAACCAAAGTCCACTGCTTCTTAGCCATATCCCATTAAATGTGCTATCTGTACCAATCTAAAGCTTGGAATTTCTCCAGAGAGGAGTCAGCCTGGGGCAATCTGTCTTCCATTTAGAAATTGTAATCAAATCCTTTGTAAAACACCAAGTAGCAAATACATCTGCTTTTCTCTTCATGGACAAGCAGAGGTTATAAATAGTGAGAAGTTTTGTAAATTACCCAAGTCTAATACTATATCACTAATTCCAATAAATATGATGCTAACAAATTCATTTAAAAGAATATTACCTCACCAGAAGGAGATTAGACAATGCTAGGTAGTTTATATTTCAGTGGCCAATAAAGTCACTAAAATACAGCCACTTCTGGACCAGAAGGCAGTCTTTAATTTGCTCACTAATAACTGGGTTAGGATAATATTAGCCATCCTGTTCATGCAGGGTGTATGTTATCAGAGAGCTGATGCTCCCAAAAAAGTTAATTTTCAAGGTTAACTACAGGTTATTTGAATTTATTATTATAGACTTGGGGGAATGAAATGGCAAACTGAACTTAAGATTGTGAACAGTGGGCTGGAGTTATGGCTCAGTGGTAGAGCGCTTGCTTGGCATGCCTGAGGCCCTGGGTTTGAGCCTCGGCACCGCATATAAATAAATAAATAAAATAAAGGATCCATTGACAACTAAAAAATATTTTTAAAAAATTATAAACAGCATCTGACCTCATCTCCTAACTACTTTTGTTCCTTACTCTCTACAGGCAATCTTTACTATTTTATTTTTCTACAATTTTAAGAAGAATGGTTTCCTGCATGAATGTTAGATTAACTGCAAAATAATATCATCTATAAACATGATAGAAATGCTTCAAAATCTAACATGCTAACCAGTCCACACTTAGAAGTACTAGACTGGAAGATGTACAAATGTTATATGTACATAGCTTACATTTTATGTAAGAGACTCAAGTATCTGCTATTTTAGAATCCACAGTGGTGGGGTGTATTAAGTGGGAGGTAGGGAGGAGGTGTGTTGTGGTCGTGGGAGTGGGGTGCCAGTGGTCCTTGAACAAATCTCCTGTGGATTCTGAGGGATGAATGTACTCTTTAATTTACTATGCTTGAATTGGCCCAGATAGTTTAGGGATTGCCCTTTGGTTTTTTGATTTTTTTGTACCAGGAATTGAACCCAGGGGTGCTTAACCACTGAGCAATATCCCCAACCCTTTTAAAAACTTTTTGAGACAGGTTTGTTAAGTTGCTTAGGGCCTTGCTAAGTTGCTGGGGCTGGTTTTGACTTGTGATCTTCTTGCCTCAGCCTTCCCAGGCAATGGGATTACAAGCATGCACCACTGTGCCTGGTTCTGATATTTAAGTCTGTTTTAAAATGTAAACAGCTTTAAGATTAGTGGTGTAATGTAAAAGCTAAGAAGAACCACAACTGCATTGTGAGTTTAGACTAAATTAAAAGAACCCAACACAAGCTGGGCATGGTGGCACATACCTATAATTCCAGCAACTCAGGAGGCTGAAATAGGATTGCAAGTTTGAGGCCAGCCTCAGTAACTAAGTGAGGTCCCAAACAACTTAGTGAGACCCTCCGTGTCTTCGAAGTACAAAACAAAAGTGCTGGGGATGTAGCCGCTCACTGGTCAAGCCTCTGAGTTCAATCCCCTTAATCCAAAACAAACAAACAAACAAACAAACATACAAAGAAAGAAAACAAAACCCAACATATTCCTCTACAAAGCAGTAAGAATGGATAGATCTATAACTTGTTAAAATAACATTCAGACTAAGCTCAGCAGCTTTTCTTCTTTAATGTTTCTACATAATCTGGTGCATGCTGATAGCTTTGAAACTATGGAGCTATCTCCTGTATTAAAATTCCTCTTGTAGGTAGAATTTAAATGACTTTAAGATGATCTTAAGAGTGCTATTTTTAAGCACTGATTTATCTTCTACTGTTATAAAACTGATTAAGCAACTTAAGAGCCTTCAACTTTTTGTTTTGTGAGAAATTCCCTGAATACCACATCTCAGGCCCCAATTATTTTCTGCCTCCAGACTGGTGATACTACATTAAGTATTTCTTTTTGTGGTGGTACTGAGGATTAAATCCAGGGCCTTGCATATGCTAAGCCAGCCCTCTACCACTTAGTCACATCCCCAGCTCTTCCTATTTCATTTGAGATGGAGTCTTGCTAAGTTGTTCAGGCTGACCTTGAACTTGTGATCCTCCTGCTTCAGCCCCTGAGTAGCAAGGATTACAGGTGCTCAGGTCCTAACATAACACAAATGAAGATGATGAAAAGGCAAGAGCCTAAGTACACACACACCTCACCATACGCATGGCCTGGTCAGGTCACTTATTTCACTACTGATCAGAACCTCAACAAGTCTAGATAGCCTAATGCTCCTGGAGTCTTCCATATTTTCCTGTCATAAATGATTCTTCTGTTTGCTCTGACTTGCTAGGGATGTAGCTCAGCAGTAGAGTGCCTTCCTGGCATGTGCAAAGCCTCTTCCCCAGCACCATAAAAAAACAAAGAATCAGCTATAGTTTTTGGCCTGGTTTAATCCAAAACTTTGCTTTTTATCTCTTCTGATATAAAAGAATAAAGAACCCCCTTCAAACTGGCTCCTGACTATAGTTTGTTTCAGACATTCCAAGGTTAACTTAAAATACATTTATATAAATATGCAAGATTTAGAGCAAAAAAGATCAACATATAATTAAGCACCAAATTGCTTGACTCAAGTAGATTTTGAGTCCTTAGTAGGTTCTTTGCCAATGTTTCTAAAAATATGGTGAGAAGATTACCTTCAAGGAAAGGCTCTAAATGTTGGTCAAAAATATGCTAAACTAATTCTGAATCTCTAAAGTTGGCCTAGCAAAGTGCATTTTAAATAAGCTCCATGGGTGAATTTTAAATTCCCTATGAAGAATTATTAGTCTTGATCCTAAAGTGACAGAAATCTCAAGAATTCCAGTTACCCATGCTGATTCATGCTCACTGTGTCCTTATCTTGACAAGCCAGTTTGCAAATGTGAGCTGAATAAGATGGAGGATGACTGCACGAAAATCTGTCTCTGGTTGTAGAAAAACTACACTGCAGTGTCCTGCAGTGGGACAGGGAAGCCATCTTCACCTAAGAGTAGTGTATCAGTTTTTATTTTGTCTCAGAACCTCTCTGGTATGGCTAATCTATCTGTAGATCAATTACACTAGGAAAAAAAAGTATACCTAACTTACTAACAATAGGGAAGAGGACAGGGGCCAAGATAAAGCAAACTGGAGCCAGAGATTGAGAATTCCTGGCTTCCCTGCTGACTCTGCCTCTAACAGGACCAAATCATTTAATGTTTTTGGATCTAAAGAACTCTAGATGACCTCCCTGCTTTCCAAAGTCCTTTTCAGCATCAAATTCTGATTCTGAAACAAGATTTGTGTTGGAAGATATTACTTTGGGATGTGGACAAGAGATGAAATGTGGAGCTGAAATCAGGGCAAATTCATTTCTAAGTCACTTAATAGCTTCTTTCCAATTAATATTCATCGCAGGTCTGAATCCAGTTATTCAGCAAAAAGCAGCATGAGATCACCTTCTAACACCTCTCCAGCTCCTTTGGGGTAGGTGAAAAGGGTTTTCCGTGGTGGGGCAAGGTCTGAGACACTGAAACCTGATGCAGTAACAGAACTTCCACTGACCCCACCAGCTGAAGAGGAGGATGAAGAGGCTGCCATTTCCTCTAGTAGAATTTTCACTTCACTGAAGAGAAAGAAAAACAGCAATTGGCAAGTTTATGGATGTGAGACTGACAACATTTCACTCTAACTGCCACAAGGACCAGCATATAATTTTGTAAAGAATTAGCTCTCCTTTTCTTCTATCCTCTTTACTTCCAACAACCTTTTATTGAAACCTCAGACCAAAATGTCATGCAGGTTTTGAAGTAAAAATATGCTTAAGAATAGTCTGTCTACTAAAACAATTACTTCCTATCATTAGCAAACTGTTTATGTCATTTGAGATTGACTGAAGGTAATTTATAAATTAAGAAGGGGTAGTATGGCAGTGCCAAGGCAAAAATGTGACTGAGCAAATAAATTATGAGGTTAAAATAATCATCTTCCATAGGACAGTTTGTCTTGGATATATCCTGACCAAGCCACACCAAGAAATTCACTCATAAAATTTTCCAAATAAGATTCCAGAATAACACTGTGTTCTGTTCCCAGGGAAGGGAAATTGGTTAGGAAATACACATTGGCACTTTCATCAAAATTAAAAAAAAAAAAAATCTTTTAATCCAAATGTAATACCTGAATTTATCACTTGGTGGCGTCCCAAAACTGGAACAAAATAGCTCAGAAAATGATCCTGGAAATCCTGGACCTTATGACCATAGCAGCTGTGCATTTTAATCCTATGTCTCATCAGAAAATTCAAATGAAGCCAGGTGTGGTGACACACACCTGTGATCCTAGCTAGTCAGAAGGCTGATCCCAAGTTCAAGGCCAGCATGGGCAACCTGGCAAGACCCTGTCTCAAAATAAAATAAAACGGGTTGGGGGAGATTGCTCAGTGACTAAAGTACTCTCTGGGCATGTGTGAAGTCCTGAGTTCAATCCCCAGCTTCCACTCCCCCTACGTCCAAATGTAAATGGGGTACTTTGTACTGAATACATGGCTTCCTAAAAATGTTCAAAATGAGGGCGGGGGTTGTGGCTCAATGGTAGAGCACTTACTGGGTTCGATTCTCAGCACCACATATAAATAAATAAAAATAAAGGTCCATCGACAACTAGAATATAAAAACAACAAATATTCAAAACAAGAACTCTTTGCACAGAAGCTTGTGCCATTTTAACAAAGATTCTAAAGTGTATTCTTTCTATTTATTTATTTTGTGGTACTGGTGATTGACCTTAAAGTGTATACTTTCTAAAAAAGATCTAGCACCATGCTAATAGAAATTTCTGCTGTAATGGAAATGTTCTAATGTTCTACTGCTGCACTGTTCTGTGTAATAGCCACTAGCCTCATGTTGTGGCTATAAATTAGCGTGGCTGAAAATTATATTTTCAATTTCATTCAATGTTAACTAAAATTTCAACATAGCCACAGTCTAGTGGCGTTCTAGTATTTAATTAAAAAATGATTTTAGCCAGGTGTGGTGGTATGTGCCTGTAGTCCCAGCTACTCTGAGACTAGGGAATTGAGAGTTTCAGGCCAGCCTGGAAGACCTTATGTAACAAGACCTTATTTCAAAAAAAGAAAAAAAAAAAAAAAAAAAGATTAATAACAAAATTAAAATAATGGGGGGGGGAAATCCTAGCTCAAAAATAAAAACAAACAACAAAAGAAAACAAAAAAACAACAAAAATTCATAAACAACTCGGCTATTGGTGGACTTTCTTTTTAAATGTTAATTTTTTAGTTACAGTTGGACACAATATCTTACATCCCGATGAGCCACAACCCCAGCCTGATTTTTTTTTTTTTTTTTTTTGAGTAGTTGGGATTGAACCCAGGGCTTTACACATGCTAGGCAAGTATCTACCACTGAGTTACATCCTTAACCCTTTTTAAGATTTATCTTGTGACAGGCTCTTGCTAAGTTGCCCAGGCTGGTCTTGAACTTGCAATCTTCTTAATGCGACCTCCAGAGTAGCTAGGATTACAGGAATGCACCACAGTGCATGGCATGGTTAATGTGAACTTTAGCCCAATTAAAAAAAAAAAAAAGACTCAAAAAAGATTTAAAACATGAATTTTCCTATGCAATGGTCAGAGAGAATTTGAAAGCCAGGGGGAGGCAGCTCAGTAACAGATCAGTAATAAGACTGCTTGTCTAACATGTACAGGCCCTGAGTTCAAGCCGAAGTATGTGTGTGGGGGGAATTTTAGTTGAATATTTTTTCATTGACTTTTTTTCTTACTAGTTATAAAAAGAATGGGATTGTAGCTCAGTGGTCAAGTGCATGTTTAGAAAGCTTGAAGCTCTTGGGTTCAAACCTCAGCACTTACAATAGAAAAAAAATCAGAGAATGCTATGTTGATATAAATCCTATCTGTATAAAACATCCAGCTTCCTAGTAAGGAATACAATATACTCTATATCTGATATATTGGCATTTTCCTTAATTTTATGATGATGATTTAAGGCTGTCAGAGAAGCAGAGCTTAGTTTCTAAGTATATGTCTATAATACTGATTCATGCTGCAGGAGAATATGAGAATAGTAAGGCTACTGCTATAATTAGACCGTCAGCCTATTAAAATGTAAACTGATTAATGATTTTTTACTTTTAATATTGTTACTAGATTACTTTTAATTTTTTTTCTGTGCTTTGATAATTTTTCACATTCACATCCATAAAGCCAACAACTTTCCAAGTTAGATACATATCCAATCCTTTGGACCATAATGGGTCAAAATATAGCTTAATGTTTTTAAATGCTTTTTGAAAAGAACTTAAGCAGTAATGGACCAGTCCAAATGTCTAAATGGATTCCTGGAGGGATTCAAATAAAGCATAAAGACAACTTAGACACCTTTTGGAGAGTAGCTTAGCTTTGTTTCCTATCTGTTCAGAGTAGAACCCACTGTGAACTGTTTATATATCTCACCTAAGATTTAAAATTGTAAATCTTTTTCCTCCCCTGATAAATGCTGTTCAGTTGAAAATCTTTATACTTTATATTTTGAGATCAGCTGCTCAGCAGAGCACCTAAGCAACTGCCAGAGTGAGGCCAGCTTCAAAAGCTAGACACAGTGTGACTTCTAAACTGAATATAATCAAAGGGACTTCCTCTTTATCCTTTTTTATTTCAGTTTCTTAGAACTACTATCATTTCATACACAAGAGTGTCAGGGTTGAAAAATGAGGCATAGAATTAGCACAAGGCTAACTTTAAATAAGCAGTTTTCTGCTGAGGTGGAAAGATACACCTAAGCAATTTCTAGTTCTAAAGATATAGTTTGTGTGTGTGTGTGAGAGAGAGAGAGCTCTTGGTGCGTGCTGGAGATTGCAGGACCCCATGCATACTAGGCAAGTGTTCTACCACTGACATGCATCCCCAGTCCTAAGTAAAATTTTGTTTTTGGTGCTGGGGATGAACTTACAGACCTGCGTATTCTAAACATATTTTCTACCACTGGGTTACATCCTCAGTTCGTAGGTTGTTTTGAAGGCCATCAGCAAGTCATAAATGGAAGTTAAACTAACAATAAACCCTGGATTATAACTGCTCTCTAAGGGCAGGCATTAACTAATCTGTCTGAATCAAGCATAATGTGTGGCCTAATAAGTGGTTGCTCATTTAAGTAAACATTTGGGGAATGAATTAAATATTTCACAGGAAACACAGATTCCTTAAAGGTCATCTAATCCAATTTCCTCTTTTTATAGCTGATACAATGAAGCACAGAGACATTGCAGCTTATCTGCTGTAACATTTTTGAAGCAACAGCTTTTTAATATATCATGTTTCATGTGGAAAGCAAACTTAGCATAGTGGTTAAAAATTGACCATGATGCCACTCTGTCTTTTTTTCTCTTTTGTAGTACTCGGGATTGAACTCAGGGCTTCATGCATGCTAGGCAAGCACTTTCTCACTGAGTTACATCCCAATCTCATGTCTTGGTTTTGCTAAGTACTTGCATGACTCTGAACAAATCACTTAAATTTTTTTTTTTTAATTTCTCAGTTGTTTCAGTAGTAGTGTGGAAAAATAATGGTATAGAGATGTTGAAATTAATAATATGTAAAGCAACTGGAATGGTTTCAGGCTTAGTAAACAAATAAATATTAGCTATCAAAAATTATTAATAGATATTTGCTCTTGAATCTTTTTTTTCTTTGATACTGGGGATTGAACCCAGGGGCACTCAACCAATAAGCTACATCCCATCCTTTCTTATATTTTATTTAGAGACAGGGTCTTGCTAAATTTCTTAGGGCCTTGTTAAGTTGCTGAGACTGTCTTTGTAGTCTCAATTCTCCTGCCTCAGACTCCAGAGCTGCTGGGTTTCTACTCCTGGATCATTTTTTCCCCCTATTTAGTTGCCAGTTGTTCATACTGTATATTATGTACCAACATATTTATGGGAAAAGTTTTATTTCTCTCCATCTGATATAGACACAGCTAGATCAGAAAGAGGAACAATGTCTTCTATTATGCATATGACATACTTCACTATTGAGTTACACCCCCAGTCTTTTCATTTTAAGATTCATGATCTTAGGAAGAAGTCTGTGATTTGGAAACGAGGTAAAGTACTGTCTTTTTAACCTCAAGACCAGGTACAGAATCTCTATCATTGCGTTTTCTGGATGAATGATTTATAAATTACAGTAATGATTTACAAATTACAGAACAAGGGCCAGAAGTTCAGCAAACATTATGCAGGGGGCACAGAAGCTTGGTGTCATGAAAGCTGGCCCATTATGTTTTCTTTTTTTTTTTTCCTTTTTGTGCAGATATATTTACTCTATCTTCCACTATGCTGCCAGGCCCACAAAGGGTGTTCTGTAAGACTTTGCTGAATAAATTTTGATGACGAAGTATCCTGGGACTTGGCCCTATCCCGGAAGCTGGGGCTACTAGCAGTATAAATCCTCATAGGAAAGCAATGACATTTTGGGAGACACAGTACAGCATGATTAAACATTCACTTTTAAGTAAGACTAGGATTGACCTCAAGTTCATAAACTACGTTTTCTTGCAGAAATATGCCTATTTTCTTAAAAAAGATCCTTCCGTAAAAAAAAAAAATCTCATCAATAGGTGAAAAAAGTTCCTGTTGTAATTCAAAGGCAAATTACGACAAACAATCGTCAGATTCATCAACAAAACGTTCTACTGTATTCCACTTAAAACAATTTGATTAGGATACAAACCAAATAAATGCTACAGCGACAGCTGGGTGGAGTGGAGAGAGAGGGGGTGGAAAGGGGAGGGGTCAGAACTTCAGCGGTTCCCAAGCTAACTCCAAGCCAAGCTTCCCGTCCAGCTGAGTCCCAAAGAAGCAACGCCAAGCGACTGCCTCACTACGCAGGCGCCACTATTCGGGGCGCATGCGCATCTCGTTCTCGGCCTGGGAGAAATTTCCTTTTCCACGCCCGCTGTGGCAGTCTCCTGTCTCCTCCCATCTTCTCCATTTTTCTAGTCCGTGCAGGTAGGAACCAAGTTAACTCCCTTCCCCTCAAGCTCCCGAAGGCCCTTGAACCTTCGGCTACTTACCTCAGCGGCCTTAGCACTTTCCCTTCAACCCCGCCCCCCAGGCCAGCCAGAAAGGCCGCGCTCACAATGACGAGACGGCGGCGTGCTCGCGCCCACGCAGAGGGAACCCGCGCCGGCGTGCGCGCGCCCGCGCCGCAGTGGGCGTGGCCGGGGCGGAGAGAAGCCGAGAACAAGCTTCTTGAGATCACTTCCGGGTCTTTAACCCGAGCACTAATTTCTTCCTTCGGTTTGGCACACTTGTTCTTTTTGGTTTCTTTTTATGATTTTGGCCTTCAGCTCCCCCCCAACGGTATTGCAGAAGGATCGTGTTTCCCTCTTCCTCTCCAAACCTCCATTTCCCCTCTTTCTTCTAAGCAGTTACGTAGCCCAAGGCTGTACAGGAAAGGTAGATGCCAAGTTTGCAGTCTCACCTGTCTCTTCCTCCAGAGCTCAGGGTCTGAGGGTCCGACCTCTGTGGAGAACTCATTTTGTGTGTGTGTGTGTGTGTGTGTGTGTGTGTGTGTGTGTGGTGTGGAGGAGAGTCCTAGGGGAATACAGAACTAGGGTGTACTATCAATGGACTATTGCTACTTATGTACCCTCCTCCTCCATCCAATTAGATTTACTTTATGTGTTATTTCTCAAGACAGAACCTCTGCTTGTCTCTGTAAACAGACTGCCAATTAAAGAGACTTGCTAAGGGTTGGGCTGAGCATTAGTGTGTTTAATAAGGATTATGAATATTCTTTGGAACTCTTGGAAGTATTTGGGGCTTCAAGACTATCCGAACTAAATGGCGGGGGCGGGGGGAGATCATCCAAGCTATATGTGATAGGGACACTGTTTGAACTTCACCATAGCTAGCTCATAAGGGACCTCTGTTTCTGAAATTATTATTATTTTTTTCTGGTGTTGGGGATGGAACCCATGGCTCTGGCATGCTAGGCAAAGTAAATATTATACCACTAAATTATTCCCATCCCCTTCTAAATCATTGATTTATTAAGTGGTGACTAAAAGCTTGGCTTCTTGGTAGGCTATGTACCATTTGTTGGACAGTGGCCTATAGAAATTGGATTCCTTTCCTTAGCAATGTGTTGATCTGAGAAACACATTGGTCAAGCTTTTTTTTTTTTTTTTTTCTGTACTGGGGATTGAACCCAGGGACACTTTATAACTGAGCTACATCCCCAGTTCTTCTTTTTATTTTTTATTTTGGAAAAGGGTCTCCCTAAGTTGCTGAGGGTCTTGCTAAATTGCTGAGGCTGGCCTTTACTTGCTATTTTCTTGCCTCAGCCTCCCAAGTTTCTAGGATTGTAGGTATACACCACCCTGCCTGCTGGTTAAGTTATATTTTGACAAGCATAGTTATATATTTCTAGTACCTTAAAAGTTCTTAGCCCTTCCTCCATAGAGAAGTATGTTAAATATCCCTCATTCTCTTATTTACAATATTCAAATGATTAGATAAAAGTCAAAGGTTGTAATTTACTTAAAGTAATGAAGAGACCTCTGTCTCTCTTTCAAAGTCATGGGCACAGCTGGTTATGGTGATGCATACCTGTAATCCCATGAACTCAGGAGATAGAGGTTGGAGGATTGCAAGTTCTAGGCCGGCCAGGGCAACTTAGTGAGGCCCTATCTCAAAAATCAATCAAAGTCATGAGCAGGGTGTATTTAAAGGTCTTTTAATAACTTTTTTGGGGTGAGAGTACACACATCACCTTGCTGTCTAGAATGAGACATGAATGAAATGAAATAGCGTGGAAAATACAATTGACTTTTTGTTGGAGAAATCAAATGGAAATCAGTATTTCTTTTGCTTAGGATGTATTGTGAACTAATGCCCAATTATATCCTTTTAAGCCTATATAATGATCCATTAGATAGAGATAGGATTTTTATTTCTAAAAAAAAGATAAGATGGTAATTTATTTTTCAGGATTTCGATAGAATATTATTTGGAGAAGGTGTCATGGAAGTTCTGCGCCCACAGCTTATAACAATTGATGGACGAAATTACAGGAAGAACCCTATCCAAGAGAAGACTTACCAACATGAGGAAGATGACGAAGATTTCTATCAAGGTAGTTATTCTTAAATCAGGTTAGAAGTAAAATGTATTGAGCTGTGGATGTTGCTCAGTGGTAGAGAGCTTGCCTACATGTGTGAAGCCCTGAGTTCCATCCCCAGCACCACAAAAAATAAGTTCAGGAACAAAGGTTTCTTGTGGGCTTGCTATGGTTAAGTTCAACTGGTGTTCCTACCATACACATGCACGCACACATACACACACCAAAAAAAAAAAAAAAGGAAAAAGGAAAAAAAATGCCTTCTTTTTTGTGGGAGAATTTTTTTTTTTTTTTAATAATCTGTAGTTGGACACAATACCTTCAATTTTTTTTTTTTTTTTTTTAATGTGGTGCTGAGGATCGAACCAAGGGCCTTGCATGAGCTAGGCGAGTGCTCCACCCCTGAGCCACAACCCAAGCCCATTGTAGGAGCAATCCTTAGTTTTGTTTCGCTGTATTTCTGTATTAGTACTAGAATTGGAGACATTTGGCTTCTCATAGTTCCATTTGCATGGATTCAAGAGTTTGTTCGAGGCATTCTTTTTTTAAATATTTATTTTTTATTTATTTTTATATTTTAATATTTATTTTCTTATTTTATTTTTATGTGGTACTGAGGATCGAACCCAGGGCCTTGCACGTGCTAGGCGAGCGCTCCACCGCTGAGCCACAACCCCAGCCCATGAGGCATTCTTGTTGTAGTTCATAAGTCATATTTAATCTTTGTACAGAGACTTAAATGTTACAAAGGATAATTATAGAAAATATTAATCACTAATATTCTGTGACAAAATTAGATTCCTTTTTCTGTGAAGTAATCCATATTATCAAAATAAAGGAACATACATAAAGGATTAGTCCAGTGACCAATAATGTTAGCTGTTAATATTTTATTATTTTTCTTTTTTGTAGCAACAGATTGGCCATTCCAAAGTTACAACTAACTTTATTTTAATATAGGTAGTTTTAAGAAATAAATGGTTTAGATGGGTTATAAATATTTTCAGGGTGTTTACCTTGGGCTTGGATTTAATGCATAAACAGGGCCTTTGCAAGTGCTTTGTGACTTTTCCCTTTTGGGTTATGAGCCTTTCCATTGGACCCTAAGTCTCAGGGTCAGTATGCTCTCTCATCCTCTCCATTGTCTCTTGTCATCCTTGAGGCCCTCATTTCCTTTATCCCTCCTCTTTTCCCTGTGTCTGGGCTGAATGGAGTAAGTTCTCCCAGTGTCTCATTCACTGAAGTAGTGTGTGTCTTAATACTAAAAGTCACTGAATTGTGTATTTATTTTGCAGTTCTGGTAATTGAACTCAGGTATGCTAGTCAAGTGCCCTACCATTGAGCTACATCCTCAGCCATTTTAATTTTATTTTGAGCCAGGGTCGTTTTAAGTTGCCAAGGGTGATCTCAAACTTGTGAGACCTCAGTCTCCCAAGTAGCTGGGATTATAGGCGTGTGCCACTGTGCTCAACTAAATTGTATACTTTAAAGAGTGAATCTTATGTGAATTATAAAAAATAGTACAAAAATTGATTATTGTGTCTGAGCTTTCTTTTTCTTTGTTTCTTATTTTTTTTTTTTTTTTTTGTGGTACTGGAAATCAAACCTAGGGCCTTGCACATGCTAGGCAAGCACTGTACCATTTAGCTATATTCCCAGCCCTTGTGTCTTAGCTTTTTAAGAGAAAATGGTTAAATACTGGTATATGTATAAGGTTCCAAGACTGACAGATATAAAATAGTCATTTATTAAAAAACATTTTTATTTCTTATAAGAGCAGGTCAGGAAGACCATCAGAGCAGTGTTCTGTGATGTAATGTGTTGGGATATTCTTAATGCCTGTGCTTTGTGTTTTTAAAATCCTGAGAGAGATTGACAGCTGGGGAGAAGCAGCAACAGCATTTCTGAAGAGTTGTTGTGGTTTCTCTGTAGATGCAATGGAGTATGCTGATGAGCCCTGTGATGCCTATGAGGTGGAGCAGACCCCGCAAGGATTCCGGTCTACCGTGAGTGCTCCCAGCCTGCTCTACAAGTGAGTGAATGAAGTCCCTAGCTGATCACAGGGTGGCATTTCCAGGAAACTCAGCAGGAAGCTGACTCTCATCTTCCACACTTAAAACCATGTTTGCTTAATGATAAAATAGTATTTTATGTCCTAAAACGTCAAAGGCCTGATTATAGATTAATCTTATCTACCATGTATATTGCCACTTCCTGTTGATTTTACCTCTTAAATATCCTTTGAATTTACCACTTATCATTGTCCTCATTGCTACCCTTTCTGCCTTTCCTGTGGATTTCTTAAAATAACCCATTTTTGGTTTTTACACATTGGTTCTTACTCTTCCAAGTCAGTTTTTCACATTGAGGGTTGAATGATCATTTTTAAAAGACAGGATCATTTTACCACCTCTGCTTAAAATCCATCAGTGGTTTGCCATTGAAGATGGAATTAGAGTAGTGGCCAAAATCTTGAGCATGACTTAAGAGACTCTTATTTTTTTAGTCTTAGTTCATACCACTCTTTTCCTGTCTTTGGCTTATACCCATCTGGTTTTCTTCAGTTCTCCTTTCTACCTTAGAACTTTTGAATATGCTGTTTCTTTTGCCTTAGAAACTTTCCTTTTTCTCACCCAGTTATATTCTCCTTCCTTAGAGAAGTCATCCCTGTCATCCACATTGATTTCTCTACTGTTTTCATAACAATTCTACTTTTCCTTTATGGCATTATCACAATCTGTGTTTGTATTTATTTGTGTGCTATGTGATGTCTCCTTCATTAGGTGGGAAGCTTCTTGAGGGAAAGAACATGTCTGAACAATTAACTCCTAATGAAACGACTGCTATGCTTTTTCCAGGGTTTTCTTTTTTTCCTTGTTTTTTTTTGTGCTGGGGATTGAACCCAGGGCCTTGTGCATGCGAGGCAAGCACTCTACCAACTGAGCTATATATCGCCAGCCCCTTCTTTTTTTCCTTTTTGTAGTGCAGATAATCTTGAACACAGGGCTTTGTGAATGCCAGGCAAGCACTCTACCACAGAGCTGCACCTGCC